GGGAAAGGGCGATGATGTGACCCTTCCTGACATTGGAAAACTTTCCGTGACGGAGAAGAAGAAAGACGACATGGATGTGGATCAGGAAGGCTCCAAGAAGGATTCCGCCGGGACGAAGAAGCCCACGCCTCGGGATACTGAGGCTGGGAAGACAGACCCGAGCGAGATCACCAACTTCAAAGGGGCTACCTTCGAGGAGTACCGAAAGACTGCTCCTGACTATGTGTACAGCGGGGAGGGAGATGATCGAAGAATCCTTCCCAAGAATACTCCGATCGACATGGAGAAATCGTTGCCAGCCGAGGCAGCGCTCCTGATTCCCAGAGCAGTGGCCACGCAAAGGGAGGCTGAGGAAGCCGAGAAGGCCGCGATGGAGGCCATCCGCGGGGACTATAGGCTCCCTGACGTGGGTCAGAAAGACAGGGAGAAGGTCGACCCTCACACCGTGACGGATGGAGACTTGGCTGCGTCGATAGACGCGTTGACTAGGAGGTTAAGCGACATGCCTGAGTGGTCGGGCAATCTGATAGATCCTGCAAAGTCTGCTGAGCTGGTCGCGGCGAGATGGGGCGGAAAGGCGAGTTATGACAAGCCTGAGGCTCCTCTGACTGAGGCTGGGATGAAGAGTGCGTCATTGGAGGATCGAGCTTACGCCCTGTCGCAGCTGAATGAGATGGTGAACTTTCACAAGAAGCACCTATGCTCTGGGCGAGGAGCGCCAATGGTAAGTGCAGCTGCCCCCAGTGGACCCTTTGCTCCTGATCAGGTGGATGATAGCAGGAGGTTCCGACCGAGTGAGGCGGCGAGCAAGATGACCTACAATCTTGTGGTCCTGGATGGAAGGAAGGATTATCTTGCCGATAGGCGGGAAATCAGTCCAGATCTAAGGGATACTGGGGTTATCCCTGATGAGGCCGCTACATGCCAGATTGTGGTTCCCTCGAAGACAAGGTTGGGCGAATACGTCCCGAACTACGAGGAGACCGCGGGCACCGTTGCAGGGCGGGAGGCGGCTAAGGAGTTGATGAGACTGCTCTCGTGCGACTTTGAGGGTCTGGTCATCAACTCGAAGAGAGTCTCGGAGTTATTCGAGGAACGTGTGCTGAAGGAGGGCGTGAGGCTGGAAACTGGGTGAATAGTGACCAGGCCATCTGGTTCCTGAGGGAGATCACGGGCATGGAGAACGCCGAGATGTCGTGGAAGTTCTTCATTCCGACGATCAAAGCTTTCCCGATAGGGCAAGTTGAGGCGATGCTCATGGTCATGTACGATGGGAATGGTGTCCTCCTCAAGGAGAGCACTAGGTTAGTGGCCGTTAGGCACACGCGGATCGGACGTGACATGAGCTACAGTGCCGTTAGGCAAAGGTACACCCAAGAAGATGCACCTGGCGGATCTCTAATGTACGAGATGCACTGGAATGAACTCCCCATGGTGGGGTACGTCGTCATGAAGTTCTCGGACTTTAGGAAGGCGGTTCAGCTCCAAAGGGTGAGGCGAAACGGAAAGGCCATGATCGAGATATTGATCACGAGGCCCGATGTGTACGAGACCATTGGGGATGGAAGGCAGGATGAGGGCCTGATCCCACTTGTGGGAACCATGGCGCCGAATGCCGAGGTATCGCCTTCGTGGTACGTCAGGGACAGGCTGCGGAACTACTCGGGGAGGTACGTGGTGGTAATGGTGGACCTTCGGGTGCACTGGTCTTTGGTTGGACCCGTGTTTTTGACGAGAAGGAAGACCCTTGCCGTTCGGAACGAGATCCACATGGGAGCTTGGAAGGCAGCATACATGTACGATGATTACACGATAGTGTACCATCGGGCATGGGACTATGGTGACTTCACCCCCATTAGGGGAGAGCACAGGCGATCGCGTGAAGAGGTCAGGTTGAATGTGACCACCACGTTCTGTTTGAGGTGCGCGGAGATGACACCAAATGGGATGCATTTGTGCCCTCGGTCTTCTACCCGAACTTTATCCCCAACGCGGACGAAAGTGACTTCGAGAGGTGCCGCATCGTCCCGGAGTGGGTGAGGACCATGGGACAGTTCAAGCCCAAGAGGATCCCCTCCGAAGTGGTCGGAGTCATCAAGAGGAACTTGATTTCCTATTCGATGGCGTCTGACCTGAGGATGACGGTGCAGAGCGGCATCAGACTGCCCCCTTATCTTGGTGAGGACAAGGGAGGAGTCGATACGGCGTGGGATGAGCTGGCGAAGGTGCTCTTCCAATTCTCCTATGTGTCGGGGATTTCGGCCTCGGATGCGTTCGTGGAGAAGTGGGTGGCGAAGCACCTGATTATGACCAATCAAGTCGATAGATTTGATTCGGTCACTGAGTACTTCCGAGCTAACCCGAGGCATGCTGCTCAGTGGGGTAGGCGTATGACGACTTCCGTTAGGAAGTTCGCTCGCCATGATACGTACTTATCCTTCTACATCCCGATGGCGTATGTGATTCGCTCCGCGGCGGGGCATCTGACTCCATTGTATCCGACCCATCGGAAGGACGTGGACATCCTGGCCAGTCATGCGTTGATATCGCAACTCAGGGGGCACATGGTGTCGGAGACAGGGTACGATGAGAAGAAGAGATTGAAGGAGGCGATAGCCAAGGTGCAGAAGGCAATCAGTGCCGGGCAGTCGGAGCCTCCCGCCCCCTTCCGCGACCCATTCGTCTACGTTAGCGACGAAAGGGTAAGGACGGTTCTTGATGGTCGTCAACCGGAGCCATTGGACGTGAACATCGAAGGGCTTCAATCGGTGCATCATGCTGCGCAGGGTCCTGGTCCTAAGCAGGAGCCGATCGTCAAGGGCGGAAAAGGAAAAGGGAAGAAGGGGGAAAAGGGCGGTAAGGGCGGTAGCCCTTCCGGCCCACCACCAAAGTCAGGTGAAGTGCCAGGAAAAGAGTCTGGTAAGGGCGTTAGTCCATCTGTCCCACAGGCAAAAGCGAAGGCTGATGCTGGGCCGGCACCGATGGAGGTTGATGCAACTGTGGCTCAAGCGAAGAAGACTTGGGTCGCGATGGTGGTTGAAGGAGCCAGGCCGAGCGCAAAGGCTAAAATGACCCCGGTTCCAAAGGCCGAGCCAAAAGGGAAGGCCGCTTCAGTGTCTGAGGCAAAGAATGCTCCGGCTCCGAAGGCTGAGGCTAAGGAGACGAAGCAGGCCGAACCGAGGGTTGAGGTCAAGAAGGAGAAGGTAGGCGGAGACGACGCTCCTGGCGGTAGTCGGGGGTCGGCTGAAGGGCAGAAGAGAGAAAGGAAGTCCCGTTGGGATCCCGATGAGACTGTGAAGGAGTCGACAAAGCGGGAGGCATCAACAAGGCCTGATGACGTCGACAGCAGACCAGGTGCGGCAGCGAGAGAAGCTAGTGGGGATGATCTTCACTCCGCGCTTGGCAGATCTTCGGCAAAGGACGCGGTAGCGCCTTTGACGGCATCCAAGGCGATGGCAAAGAAGCCTGAAGGCGGTGAGATCAGGTTGCAGTCGGCTGAGCGAGCTGCGGCGAGCCCGGTGGAGGGTCACTTCCTGGTGCTGCCTGAGAGTTCGGTGGTGGACGCTCTCTTGTCGGTCTCCACCAACAGAGTGCTGAACAAGCAAGTCAGGGATTTCATTAGAAATGGTGAGGACGCGTCAGCACTGGAGGCTCTCAACCAGATCGTGACGAACTCTCGCTCTGGGAGGAGGCGTAGGGAATCGGATGTTTCCCGCACTCCTTCTCGGAGGTCCGTTAGGACCGTGGACACCAGGGATTCCAGAGAGTCGAGAAGGCGCAGATACCGTCCGCGGCGCGAGGATGATCGCGACCGGAGGAGGGACGATGCTCGTGATCGTCGTGATGATGATTCACTCGATCGGGAGCGAGATCGAAGGCGAGATGATCGCAGGAGATCCGAAAGGGATCGTGATAGGGACCGCGCGCGGGGCGGACGTGACCGGAGGAGACGTGACGATAGCCGATAGGCTGAGTCACGAGGATTGCGGCCGATAGGCTTGCGTCCATTCTCCAATGGTCGGCGCGGTGCGGAGGTGGTGATGTTCCTCCCGGACCGCTGAGGCGCGGAGGTCAAGTGTGAGTGAGAGGGAAAGCAAACTGATGGGGGGTTACTCCCGGGTTTGCGGAATTCAAGCATTTTTCAGGTACGCATGGTCAGGAGTACCTCTTGCCGTTAGGCGAGGGTGCTAAATGGACATACGTTATCTTCTTTTTCATGGCTTCTGATAAGAATTAAACTTCTTGCATTGTTGATGCAAACAGTTGTGACCTAGTCGTCATGTGGACCTTTCCACAAGGTATGTTGGACAGCGTTACCCCGATTAATTCGGGGTGGTGGCGGGAATTTAATGCCCGGGATGTCGCGCAACTGCCTTTGTGGGTTTGCTCCACCGCTGACGGCGGTAGTGTCCAGCTGTTTGCGGACACATGCGAGCAGTTAAATCCTATCAGTAAATGGCACGCTCCGCCCGTCAAATGACGGACTCCTCGTGAGGGGGGTGTGATTAGCCATGGTTAACTTCATCATCAGGGACGTCGCGGTAGTGACCAACCTGTGATGTTTGGCTCAAGTTTGCGGGTCCGTCGCGCCTCGGATGAGCGTCGCCGGGTCCCTGCGTCGATCACCTTCGTGTCGGTGGAGAAAGAGACATCGGCCCGGGGCAGATTGGCGGGGTCCGCCCGTGCGGTTCATCGTCGATCAAGGTTGCGGGTACTTGTTTACTTGTTTTGGTATTTCCCTTTTGGTTGTTGTTCTCTGGTGTGTGGGAAACCCTGATCTTTGGGACCGGGGATTGGTTTGCTTTTGGGGAACCTTTCTTTTGTGGCTTGTTTACCCCAACTTACCCATTGCCTGGGCACAGGCTCGTGCCCGAATCACAGAAGGTAAAGCTGGGGTTTCTCCGATTTGTTTTTTTTCTTTCGGGGTCAACTACACATGGAACAGGACAAGGCCAAGGAAAACCGGGGCAGACCCGAGACCGGTGCACCGTTGGGCCCAGGAGCTTTGCCGCATGGACAAGCCCGAGTGGGCCTTCAGATATTTGACTCCCGGCCGATGGGGAGTGGCTGCGCTTCAGCATTCGCATGTCCCAAAAAGAAGCCAAACGGATGGCAGCTTTCATTTTTGACAGACCGCTGGCGCGAAATATGGTTGCACCGCAACCAGCCTGCACAGCGCTATCTCTTCATAGATGCAATTACTGCGAAAGGTCCTTGGAAGAGATCTTTGCATAGGTTGCTTGTGTTGTTTGTGCTTTGTTTTCCGGGACCACACTGACACAAAGATTTTGAGGTTCCCTCATGACTGAGAATGCCTCTATCTTTCCCCTTGAAACATCACTGATCAGCCCGCCCATTTTCTTTCACTCGGGCGTGTGCATCGGGTATCCCTGAAAGCTGGGTTTTGACGGCTTCGACCTTGGTGGTTCCATCGTCAAATCTCGTCTCCCGGCAAAGATGAGTACCGACCGAAATGGATGCAGATCTCGAGCATGAGTCACCCAGAAAGGGCGGCACTGAATGATTTGGGAGGTCCCAACAAGATGTTCCATGTTTGACAGCCCGCTAGGATGGCAAGTAAACGAACGCTGGCGTTAACTCTCCCCTTTGCATCCACCCCCTATCCGCCAAGAACCGAGCTCGCCGCGGACCATACAGCAGAGCTGGAAGAGACTCGCGGCTGCAATGCTGAGTGGGCGGGCGTGTCTCATTGCATATGTTGTTACTTCAAGGCGGGCTTGTGGTTTTTGAGGGATGCCGTTTTGAAGGTTGGTGCAAAGGGAAACCAAAAGGAAACCAATGATTCTTTGGGCTGCCCTATTTGAAGTCACACCCAGGACTGAATATGAAACAGCACCTAAAACAACATATGCTTTGTTTGCCCCGGGGTTGTGTTCCTGGGTAACACATTCGGGTTTGGCACAAGTTGGGTATTCCTTTCGGAAGGGCGATGTTTCACACATCAGGAAACCCTGGAGTGCGTCATTCGAGTGAGTGTTGACATGCCCTTGTCCAACGACCAAAGGGAGAAAACCTCGTCAAGATGGTCTCACAAACCCCTTCCGTGCGCTCCCATTTTGTGACACTGAGTCACCTGACAATCCTCTAGGTGCTACATAGCCAATTGTCCATGTTCCGTCCACGGAAGGGCTTGCATTCTTGGCATTCTTGGGGCGTAGCTCAGGTGCGGAGTGGACAAGGTATGGTGGTTTTTTGTTAATGTTGAAACGCATGTGGAAACATGAACTGTGTGTGGAATGCTTGACCACAATGGCATGTGCCATTTTGGCTCAAGCATTGTTCTGGGTTCCTGGAACCCAAGCTGTTTGAAAAACTTTGATCTTTGGCATTTTCGAACTTAACCCTGACCAAGCAATGGCTTCCTCGGCAACCTCGGCCACTTCCTTTGAGCTGATTGAGGACCAGACACTCACCGTGGAGGAGGTTGAAATGGCCAGCCAGGAGGCCCAGGACATTCGCACACGGGAGGCGGCAGTGGCGGCCGGCTTGGTTTTGGACGAGCCCGAGGCCCCCCCGTCATCTTCGGCGACCGATGTGATGAAGGACCTCTCCAGTGCACAGGAGCGTCTCCGAGTGGCATTTGCCACACCGACTTCCGGCTTGGGTGCCCCTGGCCCCGCCGAGGAGGGCGACAAGGACATGGGGGATGCGGACGGCACGGAGCGGGCCACACCACCGGAGGAGGCGCAGACGCCACCCACGAAGAGACTGAAGGGCTTCGTGGCGGCTTCTCAGAAGGCTACGTCTCAGGCCAACAAACCTGTCTCCTTGGTGCCGGTGGACGGAAAACCCGGGTACTTCAAGCTGGTGGACCTCCCAGACCTGTTTCCAGTCCTTCCAGCGTCAGCGGCCACCTTGCTGAGAGACATCACGGTGGAGGAGGCGGTCTCCCTGTTCCACAAGTTTGTCGGGAAGAATCTCACCGAGGACCTGGTGATTCGCATCCTGGAGGCGTATGTCCCGATGAAGATCCAGCTCCGCCAGGAGGAGGTCTGGGCTTCGCAGTTCCAGAGGAACAAGGCGTGTATCGGCACCCAGCGCATGCACAGGCTCGATGCAGGCCATTCCGATTACAAGTTCATGTGCAAGGCATGCGGAACGGGGTGGCCAGAGGCTGCTGGGTCTGCCCCGGCAAGGAGTTCGCCCCCTTCCAGGCACCCTCGGCCACCTCTGAGGCGGACGGCAACCTGCTCATCGTGGAGGGCAAGCCGACCTGGATCCAGCAGCGGGAATGGGGAAGCCTGGGTGCCGTTGGCCCCGGTGGTACCCGGGCACAGGCCGACCGCAACTTGGTGGACGGCACGGTCTTGGGGAGAGCCCCTCCAAAAACGGACACGGCAGATGAGATCACCATGGCAGATGCGGTCCCGCTTAACAGGCGGGTGGACATCCGGCAGGAGATCCTGTCCATGGAGGCGGACGACGAGGCGTTGAAGGTCCGGGAAAGCCAGGAGATCAAGGTCAAAGTGCAGCGGTCCCTGAAGGAGGCGGAGGCTCAGAGCTTCCAGCTCTACCACCCCCAGGTGGACCAGGCGATCAGGAAGAAGGAGGAGCTGCATAAGGCCTTGCGGGAGCATCGGGAACCGACTCCGGAGGAGGCCTCGGCCAGGCGGCGGCACAAGGAGTTGGTCACTGAGGAGATGCTGGACAACGAGATGGCTATCCTGGCGCCTCTCCAGGAGGGCATGCAGGCCCTGCCGTCAGAGGAGGTGGCCAATGAGGGAGCCCGTGCCCGCAGGAAGGTCAACCTGGAGCGTTTCAAGGCCAAGCTGAGAGACCAGTACTTGGAGGGGAAGGGCGTTGACGCCAGCCAGGCATTGGCTGAGGCGATGGGCTCCATTCAGGAGGCTCAGGCGGCAAACAAGCGAACCCAGGACACCAACCAGGCATGGATGCTCAACCACACTCTCAAGCCTTGGTGTCGGCGTGGCCGGATGATCTCAGGCAGGCCCTGGAGAGGGGCCTATTCTGCCCCCTGGAGCTGGATGACCCCGAGGACATCTCCCAGGTGGGGGACATCAAGGAGAAGTATGTCCCCTACATCAGGATGCTCAGAGCGTCGCAGAACCCGTGGCACCAGGAGGCACTGCTCAAAGATGCCCGATCTGGTGGCGGCCCCCCCCCAAGGGTGCCACCGGCCCTAGGGGGGACCAGCCAATGTCACAGCAAGACCTGGACTCTGAGGATGGCAAGCTGTCCCTTATCCTCTGGGCAATGAAGCGGCACCAGGGAGAGCTCCGGATGTTTGGGGGGGGTTGGAAGAAGCACGCAAGCGGTGAGATCCATCGGGGCGCTGACCAGCAGTTTAAGCTCGCGCCGGAGGAGCTCCTGGCCCTTGAGCGCAGGACTCACCCACTCACGTGCGAGCAGGACCACATCGACCCAGTCATCTACACGGCCTTGGAGATCCGAGCTCAGGTGAACCGGGGTGAGCGCCCGGCGCCGGAGCAGGTGGTTGGTATCTTCTGGGCGAAAGGTGATGGGGTGTTTTGGACCAGACAGACGAGAACGTGGGACCTGCCGAGCCTGACGGGAGTGTACGCCCACAGGTTCACATTTAAGTATATCTACTCGGCCTGGACCACTTTCCCGTTGATTGTGAAGACGCAACGCCGGGGCCGCAATGCGGAGGGCTCGACCTCGGACAAGTGGATGGGCAACATCCTCCAGATGAGGAAGGAGGCGGTGCCCTTCCTGGAGAGCCTGGGCATCCCCAAGCCGCGCAGCAAGGAAGAGTGGAGCTACATCTTCAAGGAGATGGGGACATTTTTGGCGGCAAAGAATTTCATCGTCAACTGCCCGTTGCCCGTGATGGAGATGCCGGTGGCCCCCATCCATGACAGTAAGGAGGCGCTGCGTTTCAGGGCAGTTTGCGACGAACGGATCACCCTCCCGCTGGCCTCGCTGAAGGCCTTCGACTCGGTCTACACCAAGTTGGTGGCGGGCCTGAGCAAGTCGTCGATGGTGGAGGTGAAGGTCAATTGGCGCTGCAACGTGGTCCACGACTGGGTCGAGCAGGTCCTACAGGAGGCGGCGGGGGCCTTGTATGACAGGTTGGGCTACTCCCAGGACCTCATCCGGCAGCTGGGTTGCTCCCCCCCCTTGGGTGCCGTTGGCCCCGGGGGGGAGCAGCCAAGGAGGCGGACCCCAAGGCCAAGGTCCTGGGGGGGGCAGACACCACGCTCCGCACACCAGACCAGGGCACCAGGCGGTACCCGCCCATCACCACGGCCACGGTCACGGCAGTTGCGGGCCGAAACAAGCACTTCCCCAAGGAGACGAAGCATGTGTTTTGGGCCTCTGTGGAGTGTGGCTTGGCCAAGCATCAGTGCCTGGGAAGTGGTGAGCAAGGAAAAGTTCAAGACCACGGGGGGCTATATGTGCAGATTTTGCAAGGGCTTCTGGAAGGCGAGGTGCGGGGGGACCAGACTGCTCCAGATCACGGGGTGGCACAAAGATAAGGCCACCTGCTTGCAGCTGGTGATGGACGAGCCCCCGGAGCAGCTGTACAATCAGTGGATCCGTGATCGGATGGAGTTCTACAAGAGGGTGGAGCCAACGGAGCCTCCCAGGATGAGCGGCTGGTCCTGGGCGACGCGAGCACCCCCCGCATGCGCTTCAGCTCCTCGAACGGCCTGGGGGATGTCTCCACTGCCTTGTGGTCGGTCATCCTGAGCAACCCGGAGAAGTCGGGGCTGGCGGCAATCCACTCGGTGGGAGGCGATCCTGAAGGGAGGGAGCCGCTAGGTTTTGTCTCACAACCCTGTCGGATGTGGGAGTCGTGTGATTTCTTCCCGCCGGGACTTGGGTGCCTTTGGCCCCGTCTCCGGAGGGGGAGGGGAAAAGGGTTTTCCTTATTGGGTTCGTTTTTCACCACTGTTTTCCTCTCTGATTCAACACGTCACGGCAGCTTGATCTCCTCGACCATGAGGCCACATGCATTGGCTGCCCCAAGGACGGGCCATCTCAGCCACGGTTCGGAAAAGGTGGCTGCGGCGGACTCTTGGTTTCCTTGAGGTCCCCTTGGGGTTTTGGGGAACCCCCCGCCTGGTCGGTCTCCCCCCTCCGTGCTTTTGGGGGTTTCTGGGGGGTTGATTTTGGGTCGCTCTCCCCCCCTTCCCGGTTAAAATCTCGGGACTTTGGGGGGGACCTGTCGGGATGCGTGTGGCCTGCCTGCTCCATCTGCACTCTGCATTCTGCGCGTTTGGAGCATGCATGCATTGTGCCGCGGTTGGGTCCCGGCAGTTCGATAGGAGGCTCGAACCCCCCCCCCCTTTTTCATCATGGCTAGGGTATCTACCAAGTTTCTTTTGCGCCCGCCTTACACACGTCTTTGGGACCGCATTCCAAGGGTCCTATGGGACACATTGGCGGATGAGTCCTTCTCCCCAAGACAGACGGACGGGGAGCTGTTGGTCGAGGAGGGGAGGAAGCTGGGCGGTGAGCCGGCAATCCGCTTCGCTCAGCTCCTGGAACTCTCGGGCATTCCGGTAGGACAAGACGACCAAGTGGTCCCGACGGACTACTTCAACGGCCTGGTGGCGTCGGCGGCAGGCAGGCTTCCCCAGCCTCTGTCCGCGGCGGACCTGGCCGACCTGTGGGACAGCCTATGGCTCCTCCTCCTGGCGACGGCGAATGGCAAGCCGAGCG